ACATGTGTTATTTTATCCTGCAACTTTGATTAGGGAGTGATAAAGTTGGTGTTTTCTACTATATATTATCAAAATATTCATTGTTAATATTTTAAACCTATAACACCCTGCTACATTTTTATTATTTGTGTTTTAAGAAAAAAAAAACTAAGATTTCAATAGTTGGGCCAACTGAAGTGGGAAGGGGCTTGTATAATAGCATAGCCGACACATAACATTTTCATGCCTGAAATTATACCATTGTGAAAATCTTAACCACTATAGAAGAAAAAACGAAATTATTTTCTGTGCCACTGACTTTTTTGAAACATCTATTGTATTTTTTATTGAAGATACTTAATTTTACTTGAGTCACCTCTTGTAAGAAATTTTTCTTTGAGCTCCTTCTGGAGACAAATCATTCTACTTTGAAAACATGCTGCAGTTAGTGAAGTTTGACATCAAAAATTGTATGGATACTAAGAGAGTAATCCTATTCCACCATAGCATTCTTTGAAAAGTATTAATGTTTTGTCCATATTTAGTCATTCCATTGTGATGAGTGGGACACTCGTGTTCACTTAAACGTCAACTTATTTCTTTCTAACTGCTAATATATTATCTTAAATATTATCCAATGATAAAGATAAATGGTCATTTTAGCCTTAACCAATGGAAGAGACAATAAAATGTCATTTTACCATGCTGACTGGCAAGGAAGTATTGTAATGGTGCAAATGTTCGAAAATAAGATATTATATTTTTGGATGTCTGTCTGCTAATCCTTGGGCTGTGTGTGGAAGGTACTGGTTGAATTTAGAAGAATTTTCCACACAAGGTTATTACTATGGAACGGATGAAAAAGCTTTATAGTTTTTGAAAATCGGGACAGTAACGGAGGAAAAAAGGCTAAAAACGAATAAAATAATTTAGTTTTTTGACGTTTCAGAGGATCCCGGCCATTTTTTAACATTTTTTTAGGCATACATCATCAGCATATTTTTGAAATAGAATCAGCTTTTTTATATTCCATATATTTCAGATTCTTGCCTTTGCTCTAGCAATATTATCACTATTTTTGAACACCTTGTATAAGGAAAAAATCATCAGCTAATAATTCTTTAAATATCATTTCCATCCTTTAAAATTTTTTTCAAATTTCTTCATTTCAAAAATCCATGGTGAACGATATTTCCTGAAATACTGTAAAAGATTACTTCCAGTGTATGCGAATTATTTTCAGTTGAAACTAGAAACACTCTCAGAGATGGTCTTCATGATTAACCTATTGACTGTGTCTGAGGAAGCTGTCATAAACGTGCTGTATGACAAAATACTTGATAGTCCTAAACGGACACCCTGGCAGATGATACAATAGGCAACATAATCAAATACAAAGACGAATGCCTAATCTGCGCAGAAACTTTGGATCCCAAGATACAAGGCTTGATCGATGAGGTCATCCCCAAGGGTCTGGGGATCTTACTATCGTTCCGATTGTTGCAAAGGAACACGAAGTAAGGATTTGATTTTTTTTTGTTATTTCAAATATATTCTCCTACACCTTATTCAAACTTCATTTACGCCGCGTCAATACAAAGATGAACAATCAACCATCGCTTTTATTCATTTGTTGCTGCGTGCCTACTGGCCAATAGGAGCTCGAGAATTTGAAAGTCGTGCACTCGTGTTTGTTATAATAGTAACAATAAACGTCTTTTACTGAGGGAGAAGTTTATCTTGAAGCTGAAAGGTTTAGGCGAAAAAATAATCACTTTTGATTTTGAAGGTTTTTTGATTTTATGATTTTTTGCATAGTGATTCATTGATATGATGTCTTCATTGATTTCATATTCAGCGATTTGAGTTTTGCTACTATGGAAGTTGTTATGAATTCGAGAGTCATCAGCAAAATTGAATATGACAGTATTTAACAAATGTGTGCAAGTTGGACATATATAAATTGAATAATAATGGTCCGAGTACAGAACCTTGGGGTACTCCAGATAAATGGCATACTCAGGCGACACATCCATATTACTAGTAACTCTTTGACAAGTCCTCTTTTTTAATCCTGACAAACCCCAGCAGTACCGCGTTGCTGGAATTGAAATCCGTACTGCAAAATTATCCAGCGACGTGTATGTAAACCAAACTGTATACTTTGTCCGCCTCTAGAGACCTGTACGTCATTTTCATTTGAATTCGTGGGATATAATGATGTTTCCTTCCCACCCCCCTATTTAACTACCGTACCGTGTTCAATTAGGAAATGAATGAAATCGATAGTCCACGGGGAAACATTGGCACTGACCCCCGCATTATTGCGTTGGTCTTAATCGACGATCAAGGTTAACTTTACCGGATATTTTTACTCGTTTGTTATGACATATGGCGAGAACGTTTAGTTGGAAAAATAGGAAACGGAATTTCAATTTGAACGTCATTACAAGAGACGCTACATGTTCCGACTATCATCTGTTACAATAGAATTAATACCGAAATGAGGCTCTACCGTGATCGACGTGTAACCCAGTACGATTGATATAACGTCTCTCTGACGTTTAACTAGAGCTGCCTTTCAAAATCATGACACAGGAACATTAAGTTACAGTCAGTATTGGGTTGCCTGAAAAACTGTGGAATCCTTGGCACATCACTGTTATTTGCCACGTCTATTTCAAAAAGCGAATTTGAATCTTAAAGTGCAATTTATCTTTTGAAATTTATTCTGTGATTGTTTCTATGACCTACTTACATTAATATGGTTAAAAGCTAATACTTTATAATTTGAAAATAGGTCCCATGACAGCCGAAATGTCAGAAGGTCTGGTTTTTTAATCGCTGGTTAATTGTAACTTTCCTGCTGGCCAAAAGTTGACTCTCAAAAAGCGTTTTCCGATGTAAAGTTGGGTATCACGTATCTTGAAAAGTGTCATGATGCCGTTTTTTTTTGGCATTATGCTGTTTTTTTTTGGCATTATGTAGGTTTTTCTACAAGATATTAACTTAGCACTTAGTTGTACGTGTTGCCTAAACGTCATGAGGCTTGTTATCAATCTTTGGCTCTGATGTGATGTAAAATCTGCTTCTGAGACGGCATTACTGGAGGTCTAAGCTGTAAGTTGTATGTGTTGATAATTACATTGGGTTCTTCTCTCAAATACACTTAATTGAGATTCAAAGCTAGAAATTGGTTGCACATCCACTTTTTCTTATCCATTCTGGAAATTACATATACAAAGTTGCTGAATGAGAGAGATAAGAAATAATTATATTCACTGTACACTGTCGAATTACAAGCCATATACATGCTAACAGTAATTACTCACAACGCGGGCGCGGTGATGATTTCCCGTAATTCTCTTCAGTTTTCGTAATTTATAACCTTGAACATAACCTCTCTTCAGAAAGCACAACATAAAAATAACCCGCCAATAGATATACTTCATTGGCAGCATATTCAGTAATGTTTTTCTCACACAGCAAATATCACTGATTTTATACACATTCATACCAATACGCATAATCATCCAGATGCGATCTTGCTATTCAACCAACTTTCTTCTCAGAGATAAAAACTACAGACAAGAACCACTCGGCCTAACAAACATATGCAACCAATAATGCGTTTAGTTTAGTTGAATGATTCCTCCTTCGATGGACGTTCACAACGATCCTAGTGAGCAAACGTGGAATGACTGTTTGCGCCCTAAAAACTACCTAGTTTGCAAGATGACATCTTATAGGTTTTTTTTGACGTTTTATAGGTTTTTTACATGATACCCATGCCGGACCTTACGGCACTGATTCATGATCTCTGGTTTATAATTGTGCAAGGTTTATTTTTTCTCGAATATATTGAAAACTTTAGATTGATCTTGATTGATTGAGATTCAATGGTAATGCGCTTTATTGGCGAGATACGCGGCGAAGTGTACTAATTTTAGGCAGTACGATAGTAAGACGTCACTGTCTAGGTACACCTATTGATTATAGGTCACGATAATACAAACCTAAAGCGCTGCCTATACACCCGCTGCAATGCTTCCCACGTATCTTGTAGCGTCTATCAGACTAACCAGTGTTTTGTTTTTCAGCCAATGTACCTAACAGATATGCTATGTGTCCTGTATATTTGATATGCTTTTTGAATTCTCGCAAAGATACACATTACATATCGAGCCTAGTCAACGAAACATTCAGGTAAATAAATATTGAGATTATTTTCATCTACTCTCACGGTCTTAGGATTTTTTGGAGATTTCTCATATACCGTTCAATATTTTACCGAAAGAAAACCTTATCGTGTCGCAATCTTTATGAATATTTTATTTAAAGTAAACGCTAGAACTTGTTTTCACTTTTCGTTTTTGAATGGTATCGCCCAAAATCCGAATCCCACTTCTAACACCATTTTTCCAAATTATCAGGTATTGCTTAGCTATATTATTAAACACGAGAGAGTGCGAAGAGGAGAGAAGGTTAAAGCAGCAATGTCAGTCCTTGCTCACGGTCGCCAGAAAATTGTTTTCGCATCTGGGCGACCTGAGCGATCTTCTGAAAGAAATAATGTCAGAAGCGAGGAGACTGACGAATGCTGAAAGATGCTCGCTGTTCTTGCTGGATCCTGATCATATGCACCTGGTGGCTAAGGTGTTTGATGGGGTCAGTTCAGCGGAGAAGAGCCAGGAGGTGCGGATTGCCAAAGATCAGGGGATAGCAGGTAAAAATTCTCAAATCTATCGTATTATACAAAGGGTACTATAAAAAGTTTTGTAGCATTGAATGAATTGCTGCCGCATGAAGGTGTAAGGTTTCCTCTATCTGCTGGTATGTTGCGGGTTGCGGCCTTTCTCCCCTCTCAGAGTCCTTCAAAGTGAAATCGTACCTTTGGAATTCTCTGTACCACCTGTATATGGTCGTACGATGAGGACAATCATTCTTTAAGGCCTTGTCCAGGAAGGGCGAATTCGCCGCGATTCTCTCGCGCGTGTTTCGCGCTACCGTTGCGTCCACACATAGCGTACCAACGCGCAAGCATTCAGGGAGGAATTCAGTACGAAACATGGAGTTGAACGAAGCGGTCTCGTTGTGGTTAGCTTACCGTCGCTGGAAGAGACAGAAACGGAGGGAAAATAGAATGTATTTAGTACATCCAATTCTTCATGATAGAATGACCCATAGTATGTTTGAAACTTTGTATCCAAAATTAAGACAACATGAGAAGAAATTTTTTAACTACTTTCGTATGTCCGTGAAATCGTTTGATGATTTACTCTTATTAATTGGAGAAGATTTATTGCCACGTGCAAATTATGTTCCGCGCGAGGATGTTGTTTCACCAGAACAGAAACTCGTGATAACTTTAAGGTAAGTAGTGTTTTATTCATAATCTCTTATATTACTAACACAGTCTTTTAAAATAAAAAAATATTCTTACTAATAAAAACGAACTAAATGTACTATGAGATTAAATATAATAATTAAACAATGTCATGGTTTTGGAAGAGGTTAAGACATTCACTATCCTGAGAATCTCTTGATGATGTTGATGGAGAATTTACGTATAATGCTGCCTGTGAAGATCCTGGCACTGAATTAGAATTGCGGCCTTGCCAAGTTGTTACGGGTGGCGTTTCTGGGTCGTATTCTTGAAAAGTAAATTCATTTGGTCTTGTAGGTTGTGCATGGTATCGAACCGGAATTGAAGTTGAAGATGAAGCCGAACTGTTAGAAAAGTACGAATACGAATTGTTTGAATACACAGTTGATTGCGAAGATTGTTGACCTGCTTGCAAAATTTTCATTAATTCAATTTTTACTGCTATACGATTGGCCTCAGGTACCTTAAGTAATTCTTTGTGTAAAGATAAGCAGAACAGTTTGTCATCATCACCTTCCATTACGCTGGAAAGCAGTGGCTGTTGTTGATTCCTAGAGCTTATATTTTTGTTAATTATGTTCAGGAATTCAGCATCACCAGCAGTCATTTTCTTTCTTTTAATATTTTGATTCGGCGGCCTCATTATGTCTTCCCTTGCATCTGCTGTAGACTCTTCGTTACCTGTCTCTAAGTTTTCTGAGGTGTCTTGAATATTGCTTTCTGTTTTTTTATTACGTAGTGACCTTTCGAGAAACATAAGACGTTGAAAATATATATATTGAATCTTCGAAGCTCCAGAGCCTGATGGTGCATTCTTTGTTTTTTTTATTTCACGAACAAATGTGTCGCGAAGGCCTTTCCACTTTTTTTGAAGAGTATACCTGAAATTAACAATTTCACAATAATTTTCAATTTTGTTTCAGGTACTTAGCAACTGGCTGTTATTTTGCTGACTTACATTATGCCTATAGATTAGGAAAATCAACTGTAATTGACATCGTTCAAAAAACTATGTATGTTATTTGGAATAAGTTAAAAGATATAGTAATGAAAGAACCTTCGACAGAAGAGTGGATGGAAATTGCAAGAGGATTCGAAAAATATTCACATTTTCCTAATTGCATTGGAGCAGTTGATGGGAAACATATTAGAATTATAAAACCTTTAGATTCCGGCTCTATGTTCTACAATTATAAACATTTTTTTTCGACTGTGCTGCTTGCCGTATGTGATGCAAATTATTGTTTTATCTCTATAGATGTTGGAGCATGTGGGAAGAGCAATGGTTCAACGATTTTTAAAAACTCCACATTCTTCAAAAAACTCACGGAAAAATCTTTGAACATTCCGGGACCAAAACCAGTCTCAGAAATTCGTACAACACGTTTACCTCATGTTATAGTTGGAGATGAGGCATTTAGCTTATCAGAACATATTATGCGACCATATTGCGGCAAGAATTTAACCAAAGAAAAACGAATATTTAATTACCGCCTCTCTAGAGCAAGACGTTATATTGAGTGTTGTTTTGGAATCCTGGTAAACAAGAGGAGAATATTTCACAAACCACTCAATGTACATATTGAATTTGCGGAAAACATAATTAAAGCTTGTTGTGTTCTTCACAATTACGTCAGGTTAAGAGATGGATACAGATACGAAGACACATTGTTCGAAACAGCTCTAGATGGTCTGAGTACGACTACAATTCGACCTGGTGTAAGGTCTCGAAACACGAGGGATATATTCGCTGATTATTTCATGAAGGAAGGTCGACTGCCGTGGCAAGAAAAAATGATCTAATTTTCTTTGTTTGTTACTAATCAATAAATTAATAATAATTACGTACCTAAATCTTTCTTTTTTCCTCGGAGTTATCTTTATCAGAAAATACTGACACCAGTTCTTCCCAAGACCTACGTTTTAAAATCCTGTTGGCATAATCAGGTGATTCCAAATCCCATATCGCCGGTCTTTTTTCTATTTCGTCTATAAACAATTCCGTGTCCAAATTTTGGCGCTCCATTTCCCTCGATACGTGCACTCGCTCTAGAGTTCGTGCGTTAAGTGGACGCAACAAGGCGTTCCCTAGTATCTCGACTCGGGCGCAATACGCGCGAGTCGAGAGTCTGGCGTAGTGCACGCGATTAACGCGCGTATTTTGAATTCGCGCGATGCTTGTGGACGCGACGTATTGATGTCAAGTATCTCACTAACGCGCGAATGATTTCGCGCTAAACGTTTCGCGGCGAATTCGCCCTTCCTGGACAAGGCTTAAGGCGGCTGCGACGCAGTGAGTTACAAGCCATTTACAAGGGTTCAGCTGCTTCGAAACTGACACTCTATTTTTCAATATTTTTGAATGAAATTCATACAGCATGTTTTATGATCGGTTGAAGTGCGCACTTTTTCTGTTCAACTTCGCGATTTTTTTAAAATGAACCTAGTGAAAAAAATGAAAAAGTGGCTCTATAGCACCCTGTGGGGTTTTGTTTTCAACACTGAAAATTTCATCCAAAAATATCAAAAAATAAAGCGTCAAATCGTATTTTGGACGAATTTTGTCTACTATTTCGTGCTGCCAACCCAAGCGTTGCGGCGCAATGTACGGACTAAGAAAGGACGTATTCAGATTATTTGGTGGCCCTATTTCATATAATATCGCGTAGATAAGTCGTTCTGCAAATAGGTACTCATAATCGCGATCGCTGATACTCCTCGATTTTAAAGCCGTTTCACTTCCCACGCCATTGGCGATTAAGTATTGTAATCGCGAAACATTTTAAAAATGAGATGTCATGTTTTTTTAAGTAATATGACATCTACTTCACGAAACACTGTACCACTCATTATCAACTTTAGTCCAGTGACAACGGTGCTATAGGCAAAAAAGAAAAAGTAACAATTGCTGAAACTCCGTTTTTGACGTTTCAGGGGTTCCTAATCATTGACATTAAAAAATTGTACTGCTTAAAAGGGGGGGGGGGGTTGAAATCAGTGAAGAAAAGAAGCTTCTGATCCCAGTGATTACAGGAAATTTAAGTAACGAAAATGCGACGAATAATGTGCTCACGATTTGAAAAAATCGGTACCTGCTCTATAGGTTTTACACCAAGAGCCATCAGATTTGCAACGACCGACAGTAGGGAAGAATAAATTCGACTATCACTCCAGTCAAGTGTAGGGGAATTTAGCGTGGAACTTTAAAATTATCGATATGTAAAGGAAATATGTTTTTGAGAATGATAATTTGGTAGATTTTATACCTGCATTTAGAACAATACTAAATGATCACTTGCTGAGTACCAAAATGGGAAACGATTTACAGGCTAGATCGCTAATCGAAATCCGACTCTGTTATTATAAAAATTTACCTCGGTATGCACCCGCAGTCAACCTTTCCTCTTTTAAAGTAGCGCCGACGACAGTCTAAGGCCAGCCCACCCTCGTTTCCTTTTCACCCCTCCTTTATCCCAGCAGATGGTGCTATTGATTGTAGGAGCCTCGTTAAAGCAAGCGTTATTCCTTCTATGCACTGGCCTATGCTTAAACCACGCGTAAAGTTATACCGTAAAATTGTCCTGATCTCACTACGAGACCTCGATGCCATAGTCCGCACTTTACACTGTCAATACGAATGAACAACGAAATCAACAGTCGTGCTGCTGGCGGCTACTATGCACTCATAGACATGTCTCAACCTGAAGTCTCCTGCGTCCGTTGTTGTGATACCGCAAAACTTTTATAGTACCCTTTGTAACTATACTAAGTGACATATAAATCCGAACACCCAGTTTAAATGGTTTTATTTTAATAAAAGTTGGTGAATGTATTTATCTTACTGTAAATAACAAGTGAAAAAATTTTCAGCCTTAGGCCGTTTGTTAACGAACGTTTTTTTACCGGGTAACGGGCCGGTGCTAAACGGATACCCTTGTCGAAGATTCATTTATTTCACGGAGATGATTCCGTTGTCTATATTAAAACTCCAAAATCTCGCCAGTTTTAAAACAAGTGTGCAGCGTGCAGCAATGCAGCAAACATGTTGTCGACAAAGACGAAGCTTATATTAGCATACTATTTGTACAAAAAAAGGCAGATGAAAGAAAAGCGCAAAAGGAAAATGTGGGTACATCCTATTTTATTGGAACGAGAAACTTATGGTGTTTTTCATACACTTTTTGAAGAATTACAGAAAGACGAAACTAACTTTTTTAATTTCTTTCGCATGACTCAAGAGAGTTTTCGCAAATTATTAGGAATGGTACATAATAAATTAAAACGTGCTGACACTAATATGCGCCTACCCATTTCACCTGCTGAAAGATTAGCTGTAACCATTAGGTATGTATGAATATGTTATTGTTAATACAATATAAATAAAACTTCTAACGTATTGATTAAGTTTTATAATATTCAAAGTCAAGTTAATACATAAGACAAAAAATTATTGATAGGACCCGGGTGATTTTGCAAAATCGAAATCTATATTATAGCTTTGACTCACGGATGAATGTTGACTGTCGATTGATGACGGTCCCAAAGAATATTCATCAGTCGGCGAAGATGGTACTCTAACATGTAATGTTTCATATTGACGTGATTCGTTCAATGTATTTTCACGATAATTTGTAGTTGAAGTCGATGGTGTAGTACGATATCCCCCATATGAATTTGAATTCATATTATTCTGGGCAATCTGAAGTGATTGTGATTGAAATGTCATTGAATTGTTGTTTTCATAGTAATTTCTCTGGGGCTGCAAACTATGCTGCGGCATATTTTTTTTCTGAATGTTTCGCATGGCTTTAATTACCTCGTACTGAAAATTTACGATATCAGCATCACAAAATTTTTCTATGGTCGGTGCAATTCCTTTAAAAAAACACATTATTCTGCTATTGTCTTCTTTTTCGGAAGAGTCTAGTAGGTTACTAATCCTTTTGTTCAAGGGATCCTCTTTAACTTCTTTCTTCCCTCTCTTTTTTGGGACTGAACAGTCATCTTTGACCGCGGTTTCTACGTCGGTTTCAGCAGATGGCATATTTGTTTCTGTTGGTCGATGACTCACAATTTTATTTAAAAATTGCATCTGCTCATAAAATTTATATTTTGTAATTGGCTTTGCTTCAGAACCTGACTTGTACTCTTTCATTTTCTTAGAACATCTCATCCAGTTATCTCTTGCATTACTCCACTTCTTTATAACTTCTTTGCCTGAAAATAAAAACATTAATAAATAACATTATTTGTAGTTTTTTACAGATACTTGGCATCAGGAAATACATTCACGGATCTTCAATACACATTTAGAATGGGAATTAAAACTATAAGTTATATTGTTCGAGAAGTATGTAAAGCAATATGGTCCGAATTGCAGATATATATGAAAATTCCGTCAGAAGAGGAGTGGTTAATGATAGCAAACAATTTTGAGAGTGCATCGAATTTTCCTTTGTGCTTAGGAGCGGTAGACGGGAAACACATACGAGTTATAAAGCCAGAAGAAAGTGGTTCAATGTTTCTAAACTATAAACATTATTTTTCAATTGTGTTGATGGCTGTGGTAGACTCAAATTATAATTTTATTTTCATTGATGTTGGTGCCTATGTCAAAGAATGCGATTCGGCATATAAATACATTTAAGGAAACAGAGTTTTGGAAAAGTTTAGTGAACAATAGATTAAATATACCACCATATACCAACAAATTGGGAACTCAGTGTGAACTACCCTATGTATTTGTTGCGGACGAGGCATTCGCATTACATGAACATTTACTTCGCTCGTTTGGTGGGCATCAACTCGATGATGTAGAATGAACATTTAACTATCGCCTGACAAGAGCAAGGCGGTACGTTGAATGTGCGTTTGGGATAATGGCGAATAAATGGCGAATTTTCCATCGACCATTAAATGTATCAACGGATTTAGCAGTCGACATAGTAAAAACTTGTTGTTTGTTGCAAAATTTTATCCACAAAGAAGAAGGAATTATTAATAATATGGCATGTGATTTATGCTACTGACTCTGATTCCGCCCTGCTCGATATACCTAGTTCAAATTCGGTAAGAGGTTCTTTAACAGCCAATAATATCCGCAATAAATTTGCGGAGTATTTTATGACACCAGAGGCGAGATTGCAGTGGCAGAATCAATATGCTTAAGAAATGTTGTATGTATTTCTATTCTAATTCTTAAATAAATAATGAAAACTTACCAACATCGTTTTTTTCTTTGTCCGATAATGTATCGAAGCTTTCATGTACCTACTCGTAAAATCATGCAGATTTATTTCCATGCCGTAAAATTGAGCTGCTTATTTTTGTAAATCTCTGTGGTTTTGTCCCATAGTACTGGTCTCTTTTCCACGGCACTAATTAAAGCTTCTATATCAATTTGGTGATCCATATTTTATGTACACACGTGGAGCCTTTTAAACACAAACTAAACAAAATTGTTGGGGAGCTAAAACGGATGTCCGTCCGACGTCTTCAACAGACTTGCATTCACTTGCACGATTCACTGCATCGGGCCGATGAACGTCGCTCGAGGGAGATCGGATGTGTAGCCGGCGGGAAGGCAGCCAACGGATCGACTCCCGTTGCGTGAACAAACGTTCATATACACCTGAAGACTACTGAACTACGGGCACCGGTCCGTTTTTAAAAACGGACCGTTGGCCGTTGCCGTCAACAAGAGCTCTTATCAGTTGGACATTCCGGTTTTTATACTGCTTTTTTTTTTAATTCACTAACGCTCTAAAAATGAATATTTCAGCCGCAGTAAAGAATCAACGTTGGCGGATTTTGGTTATTGACATCCTTTACGATCGGTTACGATGCCTAGAGTACGGAGACCTGTACGATTTCGTCAACTTAGTGAGTTTGATAGGGGCCGTATAGTGGGACTTCGGGAAGCTGGACTTTCTTTTCGGGCAATTGCAGTTAGAGTGCAAAGAAGTGTAGACACTGTGGTTAGGTGTTGTCAGGCATGGCTTCGAGAAGGCCGTACGCAAAGAGCAAGGGGCACTGGACGCCGCCGTAGAACAACAGACCGCGAAGATCGCCGCCTAAGATTATTGGCCTTAAGGGACCGTTTCTCCACTACCAGGTCCATTGCAAATGAATGGTTTGCAGAACACGGAAGACCTATTGGCATGCGAAGTGTTTACCGACGAATGAGAGGTTTTGGCTTGTTTTCATACCGGCCACACTGGGTCCTCCCTTTAACGCGAGAACACCGACGTAATCGCCTTGGGTGGTGCAGACAACGGTCACTCTGGGATGAGGAATGGAACAGTATTGTCTTTAGTGACGAGTCTCGATTTTGTTTAGGCATGCACGATGGTCGTGCCAGGGTTAGAAGGCGACGTGGTGAAAGGAGGAATCCACAGTTTTTTGTTGAAAGACATGTTCATCACACTGTTGGAGTTATGGTTTGGGGTGCTATAGCTTATGGTTCCCGGTCACCTTTAATCTTCATCAGAGGTAACATGAACGCAGCGTTATATCCACGAAGTTCTAGAACCCCATCTTTTACCCTATCTTGACACCCTGGCAGATCCAACTTTCCAACAAGATAATGCCCGACCACATGTTGCAAGAGTCACAAAAGACTTCTTTCAAGATAATGATGTCACATTGTTACCATGGCCACCAAGATCTCCCGACTTATCCCCAATTGAGCACGTGTGGCATATGATGGGTAGGAGATTGCTTAATTTGCAACGTCCTCCTCAGACTCTAGAAGCACTTCGAGAGGAGTTGGTGGTTGCCTGGAATGAGATACCACAGGAGGACATTGACCACCTGATCAGAAGCATGCCTAGGCGCGTTGGAGAATGCGTAGCACATCAGGGTGCATCCACACATTATTAAAGGTCAAAGGGCTTTAAAGCTGTGCAATCATTTTGGAATTTTTATCATTTACTTATTATGCTTCATTAAGTACTTATACAAAATTTTATTAAAATAAAACCATTTAAACTGGGTGTTCGGATTTATATGTCACTTAGTATATCAACGATAAACAAAAACAACAGGGTGCCATAGAAAAATCCAATTATTACACAATTTCTAGCAGGGCATTGGAAATTGTAAAGAAGTGCCAAAGCGGACCTGGAGTATGTATTTAGTACTTGCGGATTTACCCCTTAAAGTCGGAGGATCTCAAAATGTCCGAATTACTTTTGAGAGCCTAATTGACCAGTTCAGTTAACATAAAATTTCTAATAGGGCACTGGAAATTGTGTAGTGCTAAAAAGAGCCTCAAGGACTAGGTGCTTACGGATTTATTGTTTAAAATTAGATGAATCACCAAATGTTTGGATTATCTTCTCAAATTACATATTGGAGTGCTAAGGTCCCGGGGACCGTGTCAGGTAACGTCTGATTGCCGTCTAGACGTGACGAACTTCTCTGGCCATAAATTGATGACGGCTACCAAAAATCCATGACTTTCAGTTGATGGGTTCATAGGTGATAAACGATAACAACGCGCCATTTCATTTCAGGTCACGTAGCCGTAACCGGCAAATTGCTGAACATAAAGAACGCCTACAAACATCCCTTGTTTTTCAAGGGCATGGACGAAACAACCGGCTTCAAAACCCGCAACATTTTGTGTTTCCCCATAAGGGATGAAGATAAGATTGTCGGGGTAGCACAGTTGTGCAACAAAACGAACGGAAATTTCGATTATTTCGACGAACAAGTTGCTAACGCTTTTAGTATTTATTGCGGCATTTCGATCATGCATAGTTTGATCTACAAGAAGATCAGGGATGCCCAGGCGAGGAGTCAGCTGTCCAACGAACTGATGACATATCATATGAGGGTAAGTAAATCACTACTGAAAGTCAGTTACTAAACACTAAATTTGGCATTCCAAAATTTATAGTTTTTTAATAAAGGTAAGCAAATTATTCAAGAAAATTATGCACGGAAATGTTTGTTGATGCTTAAGTGATGTCTTTTTTGGTAGTACTCGTTACATTTTACGAAAATAGATCAAGATATCAATATGTGTTTACGTGTCGTCAGTCCATAAAAGATTATGTTCGGCATACGTTAGCTCTTCTTAGAAAGGCGTATAATAAAGGAATTCAATTGATCAAGTCAGTCATATAGGCTTATACGATTTGTCTCCTACAATCCCCGCCCCCAATTTTTTAACCCTCAAAATATTTTTCAAAAACGTCAAACAATGAAGTTTAAGCGAATTTGTCTTTTTTGCCAGTAGTAGGACCGCCATTGGATCGATTTTTAAAATCTACAAAGCTTTTTATCCTTTGCATAGTAATAACCTTGTTTCAAAATTTCATCAAAATCCATGCGGTACTTTCCAAACTAATACTGCGCAACCATGTACAGCTGTTTCATGCTTGTTGGCAATCATCAGTACAGTGTAGGCTACACAGTGCTATCTCTTACCATAATCGATCACTGCGATAATGAACAGCTATTGCAACTGTAAAATATCTTAGTTCGCCTAGCCTATAATATCATGCTGATGGTTCCCAAAAAACATGAAACCATGTAGACTTGAACACATTGTGATATACTGTGTAACATTTAATGCTTAATAAATCTACAACAAACAAATTGGAAATTTCTTACCTTGTGTTATTTGTATGAGCTTTTTTCGTATTTCCACGTGCTGTATTTGGCCTCAGTTTTCGCTGACAACATTTTGTAACACCTTGTGTATATAATAAATGTGGATATAATAACTGATATTAGCATATTCCATCTGAAGATACCCAAGCTTTCGTCGTTGCGAAATTCTGAGAATGCGAAATATTTTTATTAGAAATAACTAAGAGGAAAGTTTGATGTCATGTTTGAGAATAAATTATTTACTGGCTCGAGGTCCTTCACATGATATCCGTCTGCTTCTTCGTTTTCATTGGGCTCACTGAAAGAGGGTGATATTATTTGTGCCAGATATCTGTCAGGGGAGATCTCATTTTATCTGTGTCAGAATTTTGTCAAATGTTTAATAATTATCCCTTGAAACCATAGTGATGCAATTTCATTAACAATTTTTCCCTATCTATAGTCTCAAATTCCAAAAATACTGTTACCACACATTCTTTCTCATCTATACTTCTCCAGTCCTCTCCCACCATTTGGAGTGATGTTTCTGTAGAATATTTTTTTCTAAATCCAGCTTGATTTTTTGTCAAAATTTTGTTTTCTTCCACATTATTCCTTCGAACAGCTTCTCGACCTCTGCCGCATATTTGTATGTAGCTCAGAATGTTGAACTTTTGGCACAGGATTAATGGTGGAATACTTCAATTTTGATGGAAATTCACCATGTATTAAACAATGATTCACCAATAATAACAATTTCTGTCCAGTTATATTGAAACAATCATTTTGAATTTATTGGTGTTTATTGTCCTGAAATGATTTATTGAATCCTCTTCACTATTTGATTTATACTGCTTGTAAAATAAGTGTCAATTTTTTCTGCTATAATTATTTTTTCTGTCACTACCCCATCTTCAAAACGTATATATGTTTTTTTAATGAAAATTGAGTTTTTTTATTACTTGTTACCGATTTTGTCTGTGAGAATTGTAACTGTATGTCCAAATACAGCATTGGATTGGGCATTTGTTTGGAGTATACGTTAATCAGTTATACAACTTTTTGAAAAACCGCACTTCATATTGTTTCCAGGTCCACGACCAAGACGTGGCAGACGTTCTTATGTGCCCGAACCCGCACGATTACCCGAACTTCGACGATTTCAGTTTCACGCCAAGGAAAATCTTGCACCGAGAATTGCCTTGTTTCGTACTGAAAATGTTCGAGGAATTGAACTTCATAGAAGAGTTCCGAATAAAAAAAGACATTCTGACGAGGTTTATATTGTACGTCAAGAAGGGATACAGGGACCTGCCTTACCACAATTGGTTGCATGCGTTTTCTGTCGCGCATTTTGCCTATTTATGCTTGAAGAATTTCCAGTTGGTAGAAAAAGGCTACATATCGTAAGTATAAGAGTTTTGTTTGATTCTGTGTTATAAACAGTGATAGTTGAGACTATGTATGATTTTTTTTTGTAGAAAATTGGAAGCTTTAGCGTACCTCATATCTTGCTTGTGTCATGACATAGATCATAGAGGAACGACGAACTCATTCCAACAGCAGTCAGATAGTGTGTTGGCTAGTCTTTATTCTAGTGAAGGATCGGTCATGGAGAGGCATCACCTGTCTCAGACGATATGCACCTTGAATACTGAGGTAGGAGTTAAAATATTTTTTTATGCTGATATTGATCCAAATTGACAGCAATACCATGTTTTTCTATAAATTGACCACGTCTAGATGTTTTCTAGGAAGAGTTGTGCAGAAAATGTTTGGGTCTTAGGGGCCGTTCAAGTATTACGTGAGCACTATGGGGATCTTTGCTTTGCTTATTTTGGATGACGTGGGGGTAGGGGAGTCTAGATGATGATTACGTCATCGGTAGTTATTTACTTTTTTACACGAATGGCAACCCTCACATTGTCTTTGCTTGAAAACGAAACGCATTTACGGGGATTCCCGCAAATAATGCATACGTTTAGTGAACAGCGCGCGGTAATTCCCCTACTCGTTTTAGAACCCAGTAGGGGAATTACCGCGCGGTGTTCACTTGTCTAAATTTCCTCTATCAGTGTATTGATTCGTTTGGATACTATAGCGAGTAGACGTATTGTAAGCATAGTAAAGCAAGTTAAAATTTGTGTTACCATTGATTCCATTAGCCAAAGTTTAATGTTTAAATAAGATGTCGTTTCACATAGACAAATCCAATTTATACCACAAAATTGTTTGAAAGTTTTAAAAAATCTCATACAAGTACGAAAGTACAAAATGTACAAAATTTAGTTAGCGAAGTGTGGCGAAATTACAAATTACAAGCAAAATCCGACAAGGAACTAGATATTATTGTATCTAAGAAAATCGAAGAAGAATTGCAAGCGGCGACTAAGAATAAACCCAATCTACTAATTTTTTTTTCTAAGGTGAGTGACGAAATCATTTTAGGTACCTATGAGTACTAGAAATATTAGGAATCGCCAAAAAGTTTCTCTTTACTGATTAGAAAGTATTATGGCCTATCTCAAAGTATAGAGGTAATATTCATTATAGATTTATTTCTTAGGATTGATTCCGTCAATTGGTCACAAAGTACAGGATGTTAGTTTTATACATATATACAGAAAACTAATTTTGTGACCGGAACGAATTGCTCGTTTAAACATATTAGATTTAAAGCCATAGGGTTTTGTATTTATCATATATATTGCCATACTTTGTATTTATGTAGCTTAATAAGAGAATCTTTAGCCGAAGCCATAGAAAGTTTTTATTTTTAGGCAAGATATTTGTCATGAAAATCCAGAAATAAAAAAAAGACTATCTCTGAGGGATTCAGTGGGACGTCCTAATCTTGAAAGCAATCAACATTCACTACTGAAAACAATCGCGGATATAGCTTTATTTGGGAGTGCAGCAGATGATAGAAGACGAACGGAATAAATTCGCAGCGTAAAAACTCTTGATGAACTCACACAAGAATTACGTAAAATAGGATTTGACATTAGTCGCAGTGGGACATATCTTCGTTTGATTCCCAGAAAAACTAATTCTGCAGAGCGACGAAGACATGTATCGACAGTTCCTGTTAAGCTCATTCGGGCTCAAACTGATCACCACAAGAGCCACTTAGATAGCAAGTTCGCTGAAACATCAATCCATTATTTAGAGACCATAGCATCCATACTTAGACCAGATCTAGTATTTTTCATATCTCAAGATGATAAAGTTCGAGTCCCTATTGGCGTAACTGCGGCAAATAGGCAAGCACCTCTTCTAATGCATATGGGTAATCGCTGAGCGTCATAAATTAATACCATCTGTTTATGCTGGTATCAAAATCACTTCCAATATGCTAGCACAACCGCAAGCCGTTGGATATTCTGGACCAACATACATCGCTATTTGAAGTGGAAAGCATAGTTCATCAACTGCTAATACTTATGCTCAGGATTTCGAGACGCTTCTCGAACTTGAAGAGTTTCAACCATTAGCTAAAACTGACCATGGACTAGTAAAACCAGTGGTAATCATGACGGTTGATGGAGGGCCAGATGAAAATCCACGTTATCAAAAAGTCATAGGGTTTGATATACAACACTTTAAGCGACATGATCTCGATTCATTGTTTTTAGCTACCAATGCTCCTGGAAGAAGTGCGTATAACAGAGTAGAGCGCAGAATGGCTCCTCTTAGTGGGGAACTGTCTGGTTTAATATTGCCTCATGACCATTTTGGGTCTCATTTGGATGAACGTAGCGTTACAATTGATGAAGATTTAGAAAGATCTAATTTCGAATTTGCAGGAAATGTATTAGCTGAAGTATGGAGTTCAATGGAAATTGATGTCTATAATGTTAATGCAAAATCTATTGGGGCAGGTGAACAAGATCTTCCTGATTTTCCAGACATTAAATGGTATTCAGAACATGTGCGTGAGAGCCAATACTTGCTTCAAATTGTAAAATGTAGAAATACAGAATGCTGCCGTCCAAGAAGTGGCCCATTTAAATTACTAGACAATAGGTTTCTTCCACCACCTGTAAAAGTAAAACAAACAGTTGATGACTTGGTTTTGGATGAAGGAGGGCAATTTCTTAATCTTCCAGACAATTTAGCTCTACGCTTAAGTGCTTCACTCAAAGATTTTCTGCAAATGCCCTACGATTATTTTTGTCCGACGGTAAAATTGAGGCTATCAAGTCAAACATGCAAAACGTGTGGTCTTTATCATGCTTCCGTCAAGTCACTAAATCGTCACATCGAAAATATCCATAAAAAAGTAAACACGCACACTGATAGGAAAGTTAGACCTGTAAGAGTCGCTGCTTGTCGTGCTAATGAACTGATGTGCATTATTTAAAATTTAGAGCACCGTGATGTTGAATGGCTCGACGAGAACGACGTAGACATTCCAAAATCCGATGAAAGCGATCAAACTCACAACACTGAGCAGCAATCGAAGCAATCCAATGTCATCGAAAACTTAGAATCATGGATTCGGGTTTCATGGACTGAAGACTGTTAATTTGAATTTAATATATGTACCAAAAATTTAAAATAAGTTTATGTTAGTAAGATATAATATTTTTGTCCTTTACTCTATGTTGAATACCGTATCAGTAAAATATAATCTCTATCCTAAATCTATTTTCTTATTTTTCAAATTATAGTTATAACGTTATAATTATAATATTAAAAAAAAACAATATATTAATTGACAAATGTTTACGTAAGCATGGGGGGAGGGGGTAAATAATTGTAATAAATCTGCTTACGTAATACTTGAACGGCCCCTTATGTGGAGTTTTTCACGCAATGTCTTTTTACCTCCTACGCCTACTTAGTATTGTAATCGCGAACATTTTAGAAAATAAGATACACTTTTTGGATGTTATATGACGAAAAACCATATCACTCATTTGCGTTTTTCTGTCTGTCAGTCTGTTTGTCTGTCCTATAACCGCCTATAACTTGAGAAGTTTTCACACAATGCTAAAGGACGAAGAAACTTTTTGAAAATCGGTCCAGTGGCGGCGCGAAAAAAGGCCAAAAAAATTGCTCAAATTTCGATTTTTGATATTTCAGAGGATCCCATTTTTGACTGGAGGTGGGGATGGTATATCTCAGTTTGTTGATGTTACTATTTGTATATGCTCTATTAGATGTATTTCATAGATTACATTAGTCCTTAAAACTTGCTGCGCCACAGCATAGTGATAACTGATAACGGCGTTGCCTGGAGGTGCATAGTCAACCTACTTGACGCCATTTTTTGTATTCAAATGAAACTTTGGGATAAATGTGTTCTTTATAAATGAAAGGCTCTTTTTAGTGAAGATTATAACCATTTTCTTCATTCTAAATATCTACGGTTTTTGTTATACTTAAAAAAACTAAATATTGCGTCTCTTTTTTCATTGTATCCATTTTGCATTTTTGCAGATTTACCAAAATGACTTTTCATGAAAAACCCTACATTAGACTTTTGTGTAAAACTTTTTTCTAAGTGGTTTTACTAACATTTATTTTCTCAGAGGAAAGTTTAAAGCATCGTGAAAATGTATTATTCGCCAAAAACTAAATTTTTTAATACCAATGGGGGGGGGGGGGGGGTTAGGTAACAAATATTCCACGACACTCCTTGGGGGGACCTCCCTGCCCTGCGCCTATGGTTAGAAGGGTCAACTTCTAGCGGGAAACCCTGTACCATTTAATATGGGCATACTGAATATCAAATGATTTTATTTTAGGGCTGTAATTTCTTGGAGTCCCTGAATCGAGACGACTATATAAAATGCCTTGATCTTATTAAGGATATGATTTTGGCGACCGACCTCGCTATACATTACAGGATACACTCTAAACAGTCAGCTATGGCACTGGTAAGTACTTTCGCATTGAAGTTATATCCGAGTTGATACATTATTGTCATTTTTTCCCTATCAAAAACTCTGACTAAGCTTATACCAGTGGGAAAGTTCGCTTTTTGATTTAAGGAAAATTCAAACTTGATATAATGCAATGTTCGTGGATTATTGGAATACACTTTTGACTTTAGATGACCCCACAAAAAATAATCGCATGGCGTGTGGTCGGGTGACCTAGGAGGCCAGTGTTAAATCGACGTTCTGTCCTTACAATAGGAGCAAAGAAAGTGTCAAACACGTTCTTGTATCGCTCGGAATTGACTGTCAATGCATGACCGTTCTCATCTTCAAAGAAATACGGCCCAATAATACCGCTAGAGGATATGACGCACCAAACTAGGGTAGAGCCTGTTACACGGGACCTCTTAATTCACTTTTTTAATAGGTTCTTACTTGGGCATCTCTTGGTCGGTGAAAGTTGTATCTAGTACAACATTTCCGAAGGACAGCTGCGTATGAATATCCACTCTTAAAGCAAGCCTCGATAGCAAAAGCATGTTGCGCTCCGGTCCAACGTTCCATTGTGACTATTTAACCCACCCGTCGAACAAGACCTCTCCCCACTTGCTCGCGTATACGGTTCCTGCGTAATTCAAATTTTCAAATGTGAACTTTCCCACTTGTACAGTGCTTTTCAAAAGGTCACCCCCTATTTATTTTTTGAACGAGTCAAGTTAGGAAGCTAAAATTCGAGGTAATGATGCATGAATTTAACGTTTTTTTGAAAATTTCAAGATGGTTCAAGAGGGTCATGTGATATCTCATTGTGAAGCTCCATCATGCACGTGTCTCTATTTATTCCACAAAAGAAACAACTTTTTATCCCCTTGTCTTTATGTGCTTTCAAGTCCTCCGGATTCTTGGGATGAATCAACAGGTATTAAAAATGTCCTTGACCAAATTGCCGATATTTCGGCGTTTGTTTAACACCCTCATCATGGCTATTGAATGAGAATCGCAAAACACGTCCCAAGAGGAACAAACATCTGAAGGTTAAACATGGAAAAAAGGAAATGGACATAAAAATCCAAGTAAAGAGATGTCCATTTAACCAACTCAACGTTGGTAATTTGAGTAAAGACATTTTTTAACACCTGTTGATATATCCCAAGAAGAAAGTGATGGCACATAAAAGCGACTAACAGATTATTGTTTTTTTGATTTTCAGGACGGCTACAATAAGAATAACGCCGAACACCGATATTTCCTGTGCAGCCTGTTGATGACGTGTGCGGATCTTTCAGATCAAACTAAGGTAATTTACATTAGAGGACAAGGTCCTGTTCTTAAAACGTATTTACAATAAGATGATGATTATGCTGATATTATCTTTAGGCTTGGCCCGAGAGCAAAAAGGTGGCAACGCTGATCTACACGGAATTCTTCACGCAAGGAGATATGGAAAAGGAGATGGGAAAGGAGCCGGCCAATATGATGGATAGGGAAAAAGCGTCGATACCCGATCACCAGCTCGACTTTTTAACGCAGTGCTGTATTTGTATTTTTAAGTGAGTATTGCGTATTTTACAGTGCTGCTACCATATCTAGACGCTAATATCTTGATATCCAGAAGTGTTTTTTTTGTTATTTATATGTACATACATTTCATCTAATCTTATTAGAACCCTCGTATAATGTCCTTTTTCACGAGTATCCGTTACGCTGATTATCTAGTAATGATATTGTGAATTTTATTCCAGGATATTGGAAATGATATTCCCCAAAGCGAAAGTGCTGGTGGACGCGTTGAAGAAGAACATATTGTGTTGGGAGACGTCAAAGATGGTCTTCGAGAGGTTAGGTCTGGAGGGGAAAACGTCGTACGAAGTTTTAACTAGCGACGAATTGGAGGCGCAAGTGCAGGCCACACTTGAAGTTATACAGGGTTGAATATGTGTTAAACTATTTTTATTATGATAAGCAATGAATGTGTTACAATACTGACAAAAGACGCGTGCGCAATAACGTATAAGTGAAACAAAATGTAGATAACCGCAGAAAGCTCAAATCAAAGTATAAATGTAATTTACTAATATCAAGATGATCTGTATTCAGACAGTGAAATAAACTGGTTGTTATTTATTTACCGTATGAATGTTTTTTTATTCCCCTTTCCCATAGCAATGGTCATGAAGACTACAATTTAAGTATACAGGGTATTACAAAAGGCTGTAAAGAAAATTCAGCGTGTGAAAACATGAATAACAAATATGGGTGGATTTCTCCCAAATATGGGCGATTTTCCCCCAAAAATGGGTGGTTTCCCCCAAATATGGGTAATCTTCCCACAAACACGAGAGTTTTCCTTCAAATACGGGGAACTTTCCCCCATATACGTGGAACTTTCCCTACTTAAGAATTTCCCCCAAATATGGTTGACTTTCGTCCAATTAGTGGGAACTTTCGTACGAATAAGGTGGACTTTTTTCAAATATGGGGATTTCACCCCAAACATGGGTGATTTTCCCCCACCCCCAAATACGTAAAACTTTCGCCAAAATACGGCGGAATTTAGTACAAATATGTGGGACTTTCGTCTAAATATGGGGTATTTTCCCACAAATACGGGGGTATTCCTCCAAACAGAGGAGTTTCCCTCATATACGTGGAACTTCCCCCAAATGCGGGGGACTTTAGCCCAAATATGGGGAACTTTCATACAAATAAGGGAGACTTTTTTCAAATATGGGGATTTCGCCCCAAATATGGGTGATTTTCCCCCAAATACGTAAAACTTTCTCCAAAATACGGGGGAATTTCGTACAAATATGTGGAAGTTTCGTCCAAATATGGGGTATTTTCCCACAAATACGGGGGTATTCCCCCAAACACAGAGGAGTTTCCCTCATATACGTGGAACTTTCCTCCAAATGCGGGGGACATTAGCCCAAATATGGGGGACTTCGCCCCAAATATGGGGTATTTTTACGGCCCGTGGGGAAATTTTTGGGGATAAAGTGTTCTGGGGAATTTTTTGGGGGAAAATAAAATTGTTCGGCATTTTATTCCATCTTTAAATACAAAAAACTGCCATCTGCTTAATAAAGATTCTAAGTCGCACCAACGGGTCTGCGAATTCCCAATCCCAAATGACGAAATTATATTGAATGCGTATCGTTTTACGTTCATGGCAATCGTGGCTTAAGAAACAAGTTGTTCTAACAAGTTTGAAAAATAGTCTCAATTCGTTGGAAAAATATACAGACTGTAACAACACTTTGGAAGGCATCAAATATCTGACAAATGACTCATCTAATTTAAAAAAAAATTGGTAGGGCTAGGTTCGAAACCACGGAGGATCCGTTGGAGGTATCCGCGATGTTGCCAAATCTAGTTTTTCAGAAAGTGATAACTTTTGTTTTTTAAGGAATGTACATTTTTTCCATATTTGTATTCTGCGAGAAATTCTGAATACTTTTTATTGAACATACTTTGACGTAGACCTCATAGTTTTCGAAATATTCACGGTCAAACAAATATTTTTTCACCTAAGCAATGACCGATATCAAAAATTCATCAGCAGATACAGCGCATGAAAACATGAAGAAATGGCGTCAAGTACCAAAGCTATATTACTCAGGGTTGCCATATTGTGGGATTTTCTTCCAAATATGGGGTCCTCGGAGAATTTTTGGAGGATAAAATATTCTGGGGGAAGAATAAAATCGTTGGGTAAATTTTTCCATGTTTAACTACAAAATCTGTTTAATAACATTTTTATGCCTCACCCACGGGCCTGCGATTACCCAATCCCCAAATGACTAAGTGATAATGAATGCATATCGTTTTACGTTCATGGATAATCCTGGTTCAAGAAACAAGTTGTTCCATCAAGTTTGGAAAATAGTATCAATTTGTTGGAAAAATATATTCATTTTTATTTCAATTTACTTGCCATTTTTAATAATATAATAAATAATAATAATAAATCCTTTTATTCCATAAAATGCAATTAAATCGATTTCAATCGCTCCTTTTGATGGTATGCTCCAAAAACTGCGACATTATCGAATACACTGGATCATACGCGTCAGATTCTTTCTGCCTGACAATCTGTTCGCATTTTTGCAACGCGCCAGCAATCAGGTCAAGCCTATCTGCTTCAGACTTGTGTTCATCCAACGATGCGGAAAGTTTTGGCAAAGACCAACTTGTGTTCTGATCGGAACCAGCAAACGCAAACAGGGTGAAGAGAACTGTGCTGTCGGGGATGCAGCTACCTTTCATTTGTCTATCTAGATACAAAAAAAAAATGAAAAATTTATCATTATTATACAGGAAGTCTGTTGTGAACTATAAACTGGTCCATTTATGACTCGAGGTTCGGTCCAACGAATTCGGACTAGGTTAGAAGAAGCCAAGCCCATATGATATTGAAAGACTGTTTGTTAGCAACATCAACAGATTATTGTTTACACAAAATTTGACATTAAACGAAAATTGTATACTTTTCCCCGAGTAGACATCTGCTTTTATCGCTCTTAAACTGCTTTTTACGTAACATGCAATACTTCACTATGTTCGATAATAGTCCAAAATGCTATATATTCCACTGAAATGTTTCAAAATCCTCAAAACTCTGTGAAAATATCACGGAAAACACACGTAAACATGACAACATGAGCAAAATAAAGCTTCCCCTCAATTGCACAAAGTCGCAGCATAAAACACCAGAAATCAGCTCAGCTGTTCTCAATTTGCCATAGCGTCGCCACGTTCATTACGCAAATATTAGTTTTGCAGGAAATATCACCGGGATATAACAATATATATTTCTTAATTGTCTTGGGTGCTTATTTCAGTGTATTTTGAAGTGCTGAGTACGAAACCAGAATAAGAATAGCTAAAGATGTTTTCGGAAATCTCTGTGATGTTTTTTTTGGAAAAATTATTTGTTTTAATTTTTGCGAGTTCCGTGAAGTTGGTAGGTTTTGAAGCTATGATGACACTGCATCAGTTAGTGGAACCATCGTAATATGAAATATATTAGGGTACTGAAACTAAAGACTTTCTTTTCAGTGCAGGGGTTACAAACAATTTATAACTGCACATACACATGAATTGTTCTATTTGAAAATATATTGGAGACAAATTAATACTCTTTATTTAGTGATCACCACCATACATTTTCGATTATTTTTGCACTGCTCGGTGCTATCATCAATCGATTGCGTGAAGGCAGTGGTTGATTTTTAACAAGATGTGGGAACACCGCAGAAACTGGAAGCCACTCTAGTTTGTCTGTCGCTCCAGATGATTGATAAAAACAAATCCTTTGTTTACGTCTTCTACCCGTATTCGAATTCGTTGGTTCGGTCACGGTCAGGGTTACTTTTTCCAAATTTTAAGAATACCATCTAGTTTTCTTACCTATTTCTTCTTGGGACAGAGTTATCAACGTCGCCATCGATTTGAGTAGACGATACGGTTGCGCTAGATCGGCCAACTGAGGATAGATCAGTTTTAGTGTATTTTCTAAATGCTGGTAGTCAGATTGCAGTCGTATGCGGCCACCTTGGGATAAAGGTCTTAGTAGTGAACTATGTCCAATAAACAATTCAATAGTTCTCACACATAATCATAATCATAATGATAATGATAATGATAATGATAATGATAATGATAATGATAATGGTAATGATAATGATAATGATTAATGATAATGATAATGATAATGATAATGATAATGATAATGATAATGATAATGATAATGATAATGACAATGACAATGACAATGACAATGATAATCGTAATCTTAATCGTAATCGTAATCGTACTCGTAATCGTAATCGCAATCGCAATCGCAATCGCAATCGCAATCGTAATCGTAATCGTAATCATAATATTATTATTATTATTATCATTATTATTATGATTGTTATAATAATTATTATTATTATAATGATTATTATTATTATATAATTATTAAGTATTATTATTATTAGATTATTATTATATTAATATTATTATTTATATTATTATTATAGTATTATTATGATTATTATATAATAAATAATTAAATTATTCGTATTAATTATTATTATTATTATATTATTATTGTAATTATCATTATTATTATTATTATGATTATATTAATATGTTACAATTATTATTATTATGGATTATTATAACTATCATTATATTATTATTATTATATTATTATCATCATTATTATATTATATAACTATTATATTAAATATAATTATTATTATTATTATAGCTATTATTATATTATTATATTATTATTATTCTTGTTATTATTATAATATTATATATTATGATTGTTATAATTATTATTATTATAATATATTATTATTATTATTAGTATTATTATTATATTATTATTATGTTATTATATTATTATCAATATATTATTAATTATTATAATTAAGTATTATATTATAATTATTATTATTACAATAATTATTATTATGATTATTATTACATATTATTATTAATATTATTATAACTATTATTATTATTATTATTATCATTATATTATTTTATTATTATTATAGGATTATTAATTATTATTATAATTATTATTATTCATATATTATTAGAATATTTTATAATTATTATTATGATTATTATTATTATTATAATTATTTCATTATTAATAATTATAACGATAATATATTATATTATGATTATTATTATATATATCATTATTATAATTATATTATCATGATTATTAGTATTATTATTAATTAATTATATTATAATAACTTATTATTATAATTATTTATTATTATTATTATTATTGATTATTATTATTTAATTATATTTTTATTATAATATATTATTATGATTATTATATTATTATATATTATTTTATTATAACTATATTATTATTATATATAAGTATTATTATTATACTATATTATTATTATTATTATTATTATTATAATTACTATTATTATTATAATTATAATTATTATTATTATTATAATTATTATTTTTATTATAACTATTATTATTATTATTATTATAATAATTACTATTATTATTATAATTATAATTATTATTATTATTATAATATTATTATTATAATAATTATCATTATTATTATTATTATTATGATTGTTATAATTATTATTATTATTATGATTATTATTATTATTATTTGTTTATTTTCCACAGCCCTATCTATTCAACTGGTTCTGTCCATGTGGGCCGGTTTTGGTTGGTCATTTTCATTATGGTACTTCGAAGATGTTACCCACATCCTAACAAAGTCCATTACCTTATAGTGTCTTACGTAATATGGTTGCTGTACCATACAAAGCAATCTCCTGCACGTCTGCTGTCCTGTGCCTTCCTGGTATGAGATTTAGGTTTCCATGTAGATTGTCTGGGATCGTCCCTAATGCACCTAAAATTACGGGAACTATCTTCGTCCTCAGATTCCACATTCTTTGGATTTCAATTGAGAGATCTTTGTATTTCAATTTCTTTTCAGCTTCTTTGTTTACAACGTTTTCATCGTTGGGGACTGAAACGTCTATTAGCAGGCAGGTTTTGTCACGTTGGTTTTTGACGATTATGTCTGGGCGGTTCGCGGATATTTCACGATCTGTTTGCACTGGTAAGTCATATATTATGGTAATCTCATCTTTACTAACTACTGGAGTGGGATTGTGATTATAGCATTTTTCTTCCACTGCGATCCCAAAGCTTATACAGATGGCATGATGCAAGTATATGCATATTTTATTATGTCGGACCAAGTACTCGTGCTTCGCCAGTTGAGGACAGCCGGATATAAGATGATCTATTGTTTCTGAGTATTTTTTGCACATTCGGCATCTATCATTTGCTGTTATTTTGAGGATATGTTTCTCATAATGTCTTGTACGTAAGGCCTGGTCTTGGGCGGCCGTTATCAGGGCCTCTGTTTCACCTTTTACCTTCCCTCTCGTGAGCCACGCAAACGTTTGGCATTCATTAATCCCTGGCCTCTTAATTCTCTTCACGTATTGACCATGAAGCTGCTTTCGTATCCATTTATCCTTCAAGGTCTTCCTTGTCATGGCCTTAATATCTGTAGACAGTAATTCTTCTTCATCCTCGACCGCTTGATTTTCTATTTCCGGTAAATGTGTCTTTACAATTTTTATCGCTGACTTGACTACTGACTTTCCAACTCGAGGGTGCCTTTCACATCTCCAAATTTGTCTAACTAACTTATCATTTCTGCGGCTTCTTAAATAATTGGCTATGGATACAACTGTATTATCATAAGTCATCTCTACATAATTGCTTGAGTCCTCTACCTCCTTCTTTACGACTCACATATAGCCTGCCTACATCAGCTCTTATTATTATTATTATGATTATTATTATTATAATTATTATTATTATTATTATAGTTATTATTATTATTATTATGATTATTATTATTATAATTAATATTATTATTATAACTATTATTATTATTATTATTATTATAAATATAGTTATTATTATTATTATAGCTATTATTATTATTATGATTACTATTATTATTATTAGTATTATTATTATTATTATTATAACAAATATTATTATTATGATTGTTATAATTATTATTATTATAATTATTATTATTATTATTATAAATATTATTATTATTATTAGTATTATTATTATGATTGTTATAATTGTTATTATTATTATTATGATTATTATTATTAAATTATTATTATTATTATTATAATTATAGTTATTATTATTATGATTATTATTATTATTATAATTATTATTACTATTATTATTATTATTATTATTGTTGAGGATAGGTAAGCAGAGCAATTCAACTCGCAGTGGTCTTCGGTTCAGAACAGTTTATTCAGTACTTGTACATGAATGGGTAGATAAGCTACAGGTGTAGACCGGGCTTCCGCGTTCCGCGATCCGCGCGCGTGTGCTGGCTGCTGTTGTACTTCCACTGCTTCCCACGACTGACCCTTCACGACTGACTGCATTCCGAGGTGCGGCGCGCGGGAACAGGACGGCGGTTACAAGCTTCTAGGTTAGGCAACCTGTCTGGTCGTCTCGCCAGTAGCGGCGCGGCGGGGTGACGCTAGTACGCGTTCCAACACTTCCCCTCGAGACGTAGCAGACACACAGGTTCTGGTCCGTCGTCTGTAATCCCAAAAGTTCCATGCACTTCCGATGTTTTGTCCTCGACAACCCCTTCGTCAATACGTCTGCGGCCATTTCAGAAGATGGAGTATGCTTCAACTTAAACTTCTTCTGTTCCAAGGCCTCCCGCACAAAATGGTAACGTATGTCGATGTGCTTACTTCTGGAATGATATCTTGGGTTCTCGGCCAATTTTATAGCACTCATATTGTCGCTATACAGGGTTACGTTAGCGAGTCTTTCGAACCCAAGTTTGGTCATGAACTTGCCCAAGTAGATTGCTTCCTTGGCAGCTTCGGTGGTACCCATATATTCCGCCTCGGTGGTAGACAATGCCACTGTGGCTTGCTTCTTCGATTTCCACGATACGGGTCCGCCTGATAGGATGAATGAGAATCCGGTATACGAATGCCTATCGTCAGGGCAGTTTGCCCAATCAGCATCAACGAATCCTCTCAGATTCATGTCTTCTCGTTGGTATACTATCGAGTGATCGATGGTGCCCTTCAGGTACCTAAGTACTCGCTTTGCGGCTGTCCAGTGTTCCTTAGTGAAACAGTTGTTGAACTGTCCTAAGTAGCTTACGGCAAAGCTAATATCGGGTCTCGTTCCCAACGATAGATAGGTTAGCGCACCTATAAGCTCCCTATAAGGTAACTTCAGCTCTTCACTAGATGGGCTCTCCGTCGGTTTCCTTAACTTCGTTCCTGGATCAAGTGGAGTGCTTACAGTGTTCGTATCCGCCATGTTGAATCGATCTAGTATTTCCAAGATATATGCTCTCTGGCTTAGACTTATCTTGTTTTTCTTTAGTGAAAATTCCATCCCTAGGCAATGATTAACTGATCCCAGATCTTTCATTTCAAATCTTTCAGATAATTTGGCTTTTAGGGACGATATTGCCTTTTTGTCACGTGATGCGATAATCAGATCGTCTACATAAGTGACAATTATCATAATGTCTTTCCCTGTTTTACTAGTGAATACACATGGGTCGGACTTAGTTGGATTTGCACCACATTCACTAAGTGTCTGGCTTAGTTTCTGATACCAGCTCCGACCGGCTTGCTTCAGGCCGTATAGTGACTTCCTAAGTAGACATACTTTATCACCTTTTCCCAGTGTGTTCAAGGTATCTCGAGCCTTCTTTCTGGTAGCCTCGTTGTATTTGGAGTTATCACAAATAATCTTCAATGATTCATCCAAATATTCGGGGGTTTCCATGTAAATCGTCTCATCTAGACTTCCATTTAAGTATGCGCAGGTAACATCCAGTTGCTGCATGTCCATATTTAAATGTGCTGCTAGGGCAGATACAAGTCTTATGGAGCTAAGCCTTGCTACAGGGGCAAAAGTCTCGTTGAAATGTGTTCCGGGCTTTTGGCTAAATCCCCGAGCGACTAGTCTTGCCTTCCTCCTTTCGATAGTTCCATCAGGCTTGTACTTGTTTCTCAGGACAATACGGCTTCCAACGATGTGCTGGTTACATGGTCGGTCGATTAATTCCCAAGTACCATTCTTCAAGATAGATGCCACTTCGTCTGCCATCGCCTTGTGCCATTCGTCAGCGTCCTCGCCTCTGACTGCCTGATGCATCGGGACCTCGGACAGTAATACCTCTTCAGAAGAGAGTGCTGAACCTCTCGGGGGTGTCCTGTACCTGTATATCTTTCTAGGTCTTCCCCTCGAACCAGTTCGCCGAATTCTGGGTCTCCCGCGGGCACGCCTGGGTGGCTCAGAATCGTGATCAACCTCGGGCTCTTCTTGTTCCGTTGTAGGAGATTCATGTTTTGGATTTTCGTTCTCGACAACTGGGGATAGCTGTACCTCGATAGTATGCATCTCAGATTCATTCTCCTTGGATGATTCTTCCAGAATAAAATCTGTCCATTCTTGGCTTATGACTACTGCGTTTCCCAAGAACTTAACATCCCTCGTGACTACGAATTTATTCTCCTTCGGCAACCAGACCTTGTATCCTTTCGTTTGTTCCGAATACCCTATGAAAATTCCTTCCTTACATCTTGCGTCTAGCTTCCCCTTGGCCTGATCTTGGTTTAGACAGAAGACCTTGCAACCAAAATCTCTGAGATTCGAAACGTCGGGAGTCTTTCCAGTCCACTTTTCGTATGGTGTTAACCCGTTCAGACTTTTGGATGGACATCTGTTCCGCAAATAGTTGGCCGTGTTGATGGCTTCAGCCCAAAAGATCGGAGGTAAGCCGGACTGCATGATTAGACAACGTGCTGTATCCAAGAGAGTGCGGTTCTTCCTCTCCGCTATACCGTTCTGTTCCGGAGTGTATGGGCAAGTCAAGCGACGTGAAATTCCGTGCTTTTTCAGGAGATCCTCCATTTCCTTACATGTGTACTCCGTCCCGTTGTCAGATTGGATGCACTTTATCTTTTTGTTCTTTTGGTTTTCGACCAGTGTAATATATTCCTGAGTCTTTCGCACAACTTCATTTTTATGTTTCATGAAGAATACCGTGCAATACCTAGAATAATCATCTATGAATTCGACAAAATATTTGTACTTCGAGTGAGATTCTACTCGCATGGGACCGCAAACATCAGTATGTACGATTTCTAGCATTTCCGATTCCCTGTCGGACTTCTTCGGGAATGGTGAACGCGTCATTTTTCCGCGTATGCAAATTTCGCAATTAAGTTCCCCATTATTAGGCATATTTTCAATATTTACTCCACCTAATCTTCCTTTCTTCAATGAAGAATTCAAATCCTGAAAGTTCAAATGTCCTAATCTACGATGCCATAGTTTGACATTTTTAGAATTCATGGTCGAAATGAAAGCTGATTTATTCTGCGCTTCGCCTTCTCTCGCGTAGTATAAATCGCCACTACGATCGGCTACAACTTTTATATCACCATTACTATCATAGATCAAAGCATTTTCTTTCTTGAATAAAACTTCAAATCCTTTATCGGTAATCTTTGCAACAGAAAGTAAGTTTACTCTTAGGTCGGGAACATGAAAAGCTTTATGGAGTGAGATGTTTTTCGTGTCGCCAAAAACGTCAGCAACAAACGTGGCTGTTCCGGAACCTGTAATGTCCGTAAATTCACTATTTGCTAAATTCAAATGATCATGTCTACGTTCAAGGTCAGAAAAACAACTAATGTCTTTACATAAGTGAGACGTTGCGCCACTGTCTAGACACCATTTCAGTCTTTTGTGATTCTGTTCAACATGATAACATTCCGCGGTAACGAGTCCCACGTGTTCGGAACAGTTCGCTTCACTTTTGTAAGAATTGGCAACAGTCTTACCTTTGTCTGGACATTCAGCGGCCTTGTGGCCTACTTTTCGGCATCTGTGACACTTATACCTGAACGTTCTTCTGCCTTCCGAGACGCCGCTGCCTCGTGCACCTTCCGAGACGCCGCTGCCTCGTGTACCTTCCGAGACGCCACTGCCTCGTCCGCCATTTCCTGCGTGACCGTGATTTTTCCCATAATTCCGCTTCACGAACATGGCGCCTTCCGTTTCTCGAACGTCGCCTTTCCGCGCAGTATACTCTTCTATAATTTTTATTCGAAGAATTTCCGGGGATGGTAATTCGTCTCTAGACTCAATTGCACACCTGAAGTTTTCAAAACTGGCTGGCAGGCTATACAATAGCATTATCGCTAATAGATCTGCATTGATTTCTACATCCATGTCATTTAACTTGTCAACTGCATCGAAAAATGAGTTTAAATGACATCGTATGTCCTGTCCCTCTTCCATACGTTGCAGTGTAAGCTGTTTGAGCAATGTGGCCTTTCTAGCGGGTCCTTTTGATTGGTAAATACCCTCCAACTTTTGCCACAGTTCCTTGGATGTATTACAGTTCTTTACCTGTTTGATTTCTGAGGGGCTTATTGACAAAATTATGTCCGACATCGCCTTGCTGTCACCTTTAGTCCAGGCTTCTACAGCTCTCGTGGATGCTTCGTCCCCATCATCTATCCGTGGCTGCTTTATCTCGCCAGATACATAACTCCAGTGATCGTTTCTTACCAGCAATGCCCTCATCTGTATTTTCCACGTGTCGTAGTTATCCCTGCTAAGCGAGTCTATACAGGATACTTTTGCCACACTCATGTTTGATAACACTAGTCACACACTTCCTATATATTATCTTCAGCACTTGCAATAATTGTTCAATGTCCGTAGCACTGTCTCTGGTCACGTAACCTGTTGAGGATAGGTAAGCAGAGCAATTCAACTCGCAGTGGTCTTCGGTTCAGAACAGTTTATTCAGTACTTGTACATGAATGGGTAGATAAGCTACAGGTGTAGACCGGGCTTCCGCGTTCCGCGATCCGCGCGCGTGTGCTGGCTGCTGTTGTACTTCGACTGCTTCCCACGACTGACTCTTCACAGTGTTGCCAGACGAATTCTGCTAAAAATCCCTAACATTCTATTTTTTCTCCCCTAGAATTCCCTAGATTTTTATTTTCTAAGTCTACCCTATTTTTTCTGTCTACTCGCCACCCCCAATTTTGTATTACATATTGAATTCATAATATGGTTTAAAAAATATATTAAAAATTACATTTAAAAATAAAACTTTATTAGATAAAAAAACGGAATTTTCTTAATTATCTAACTTAAAATAATACACTACTTGCCACTAATCTTTTGAGTACAAATTTTTTTGGCTCATTAGTTTAAGATGCTCACTAGTTACTTTAAATAATAATAATAATAATTTTATTAATTATTTTGTTTCTTTTTTCTTGTTTTCGTAGAGGGTTGATCCCTACGATTTTAAAAATATATCAGCTATTGATTACCTATAATATATTATGCAACTTACATTTGATCAGAATCGGACTCCATCATCACAAAACTAAACTTAAAAACTTTGAACAAAGATTCTTTTTTAATTTGACCGTCCTAATATTCACATTAAACGCACTCAAAAACCTCGCTTCACACTTTAATATTGAACTGGGTATGCGTAATACAGTCGTCGGTGGCGGCAGGTGGCGGAGAACTTATCGGTGATTCACGATTCACACAGAAGTACAGAAGATGTACAGTGTAACCAACCTTGTAATTAGCAAAGCTGTATACTGTTTTATTTAACAATTATGTTAACAGGGTCCGTTTATGTTTTTGCAATATAGATTGGAATTTAATTATTCATTAATCTTTTTTTTGAAACGGTAAAAAATCCCTAGAATTTCCCTATTTCCCTAAAAGTCCCTAGAACTAGAAAACATCGTAAATTCTCCCTAGAACTAGGGAGACTTCCCTAGAAATGGCACCACTGACTCTTCACGACTGACAGCATTCCGAGGTGCGGCGCGCGGGGACAGGACGGCGGTTACAAGCTTCTAGGTTAGGCAACCTGTCTGGTTGTCTCGCCAGTAGCGGCGCGGCGGGGTGACGCTAGTACGCGTTCCAACAATTATAGCTATTATTATTATTATTATTATAATTATTATTATTATTATAGCTATAATTATTATAATAATAATAATAATAATTATTATTATAATTATTATTATTAGTATTATTATTATTATTGTTATTATTATTATTATTATTAATATTACTATTATGATTGCTATAATTATTATTATTATTATTATTATTATTATTATTATTATTATTATAATTATTATTATTGTTATTATTATTATTACTATAAATATTATTATTATTATGATTATTATAATTATTATTATTATTATAATTATAATTATTATTTTATACTATTTTACTCCTCTGTCGAAGGTATTAATATTTCCCTCAGGCGGTTAGCCAAAGTAAGGAAATAGATCTGCAGCGGTCTTTTCACCGTATCCGGTTCTCATCTCCTAAAACCCTACGTACTGTCCTACATGTTCCAGCAGTGCAGCTTTTTGCAGTTGCAAGTATATTTTTGGATGGAGCTGTAGCTTTTCCAGACTCTTGTGTAGTTTCCTTGGTATCTCTCCAGTAGCTCCTATTATAACTGGTATTATAGACACATTGCCCATTTCCCAAATGCGTTTGATTTCGTCGGAGAGTGGCAAATACTTATTGATTTTTTCCGCATGGGTGGTTTGGATATTAGTAGGAAGAGGCACAGCTATGTCTATTATAAACGTCGTTCTTTCTTCTTTTAGTGTGAGCACTATGTCAGGAATATTGTTGGGGATGGGCCTGTCAGTTATGATTTTACGGTTCCAGTACAGCCTAGAGGTCTCCGTTTCTATCACAGGTGGCGGCGTGTATTTATAGTAGGGCTGTGTACCAGTTTCGCCTAGATGCTTTTTAGCCAAAGCTTGATAAAGTATTTTGGCCACATCATTGTGCCTTTCAAGATATTGTTTAGGAGCTAAGGGAGAGCAGCCTGCTACAATATGATCTATGTGCTCATCTTTTTCCCCACATATGCGGCATCTGATATCGTCAACGTTCTCATGCATTATACGCTTTCGGTACAACTTTGTTGGGACTACCTGATCCTGGATGGAGGCTATGAAGCCCTCCGTCTCCAGGAACAGATTACCTGACTGCAACCATCCTTGGGAAGCCTTCGTGTCAATGGCGTTGTCTTCTATGCGGCTCCTATACCGACCATGTAGTGGTTTGGCTTTCCATTGGTGAACCAGATCCTGCATTGGGGTTATCTTTGCCTCAGGGTCGAAAGATTTTTCTGAAAGGTTTAGTGGTGTCAACTTTTTATCCGTCTGTGTTATTGCTTGATGCATTCTGCTGGATGTGGCTTTTTGGAGGAAGTACTGGCGTAGATTGTCCACTTGGCGGTGATGTAGTGTAGGTATGCAAGGTATTCCTCTGCCACCCTCACTTCGTGGTAGATGGAACCGCTCTATGGAACTATGTGGGTGGTGTCCCCGGTGTTTACGGAATTCCTTTCTGGTTTCCACATTAAGTGCGTTCAGTTCTGTATCCGTCCAGTTCAGTATGCCAAACGTATAGGTAAGGACCGAAGTAGCGTAGGTGCTGACAGCAAGTGCTGTATTACGAGCTGACAGACTTGTTTTCAGCACCGCCCTCAAACGTGTTCTACAGAGCTCCATTGCCTTTTCTTTTGCAGCTTTCTGGTCTATGCCCGGCGCTTGTAGATAGCCTAAGTATTTATACTGTTCATCTTGCTGCATTCCTTCAATTTTCCCTTGCACTTGGTTCGGCTCATATCCTGAATGTTTACTCCATTGGCCTTTTACCATGCAACTGATCTTGCACTTGTCTAAGCCAAACAGCATCTTGATGTCAGTGCTGAATTTACTTACACAGTCCAGAAGTTTATGAAGATGTTCTTTGGTTTCTGCAAAAAGTTTGAGGTCATCCATGTACCAAAGATGTGAAATGCGTGTTTCATTGCCACCTAACAGTATTCCTTTCTTTTGGCTATTTAGCATTGTTGTTAACGGTCTAAGCGCTAAGCAGAACCATAGCGGACTTAAAGAGTCTCCTTGAAATATTCCTCTCTTGATGGATACCTCTCAGGCACTAAATTGCGTATCTTGGGTGTTGAGATAGAGCCGTGTCTTCCAATTCGCCATAGCATGTGCCAGAAATTGTTTGATGTGGCACTCGATCCCATAAAGGTCAAGCACCTCTAACAGCCAAGAGTGAGGTATACTGTCAAACGCTTTCTGATAATCGATGTATGCAATGTACAGGGGTATTTTTTTCTTTTTGGCATAATTAGTTATGACAGAGTCTATAACAAGTTGCTCTTTACAGTCTCGAGACCCTTTTCGGCAACCTTTTTGCTCTTCGTCTAGTATAGTATTCCGCTCTAGGTGAGAATATATCTTTTCAGTAATTATAGCAGTCAATACCTTGTAAATAGTCGGCAGACAGGAGATTGGTCGGTATTTTGCCGGATCGTTCGAGTGATCGCCGCACTTTGGGATTAAATATGTTATTCCCATTGTTAAGAACTCTGGCAACATATCTGGTTGCTCTAAGATTGAGGTGTAACACTTTGCGAGTCGATCGTGAGCCGAAGTGAACGTTTTTAGCCAATAATTCTGAAGCTTATCTGATCCTGGGGCTTTCCAGTTTGGTAATTTTCGTAGAGTATTTACCACGTCATCTAAGCTTACTTTCCAGTCGAGCATGGTCCTAAAAGTTGAATTATTTGCTTTCTCTTGGCGGTACCATTTAGATGTGGAATGATTGATTGGATTGCTCCAAATTCCTGACCAGAAGGTATTGATGGCATCTGAGGTAGGAATCTGAACGTTGTTCTGATCTGTATCCCTCCGTCGCGCCTGCAAGTTCCTGTAAAAGCCTCGCTGATTGGTCTCGAATGCTCGATTTTGTCTCCGGCGTTCGTTGCTTTTCTTGTACCTTCGAAGTCGCAGTGCTGTAGCTGCTAGTTTTTGCTTCAGGTAGTCCAAGACTTCTACGGCTGTTGGGTTCTCCTCCGAGCAGTGACGGTTTATCACATTCTCTGCGGATCTGTTTACTCTCAAACTACATTCAGACCTGTGGTACTGGGTGAGTATTGCTATGTCCTTTCTAATCTCCTCTATATTACGCGATATCCTCATCTCCCAGGCTGGCAGTTTTCTGTTTTTCCTTACACATTGTTCGCCAACTCTCTGTTCATTTAATTTTAGGACTGTAAGTGCTCCAATGTACAACAGGCTATGGAGCTCAGTCAAGGTTGTATCTTCTGTAATCTCGTTATCTATTACTTTGTTAACTTCAGCGATATACTCAGATGTATGGGGTTTTATTATTAGCTTTGGTAGGCTTGGTTTAAGAGTTGGTTCCACACCATCATACTTCATGAACAAGCCCCTGAACTCATCTGCGTATTTAGAGGGTTGGCCATCGTTTATCTCAATTTGTTCTTGGTTTTCTGTGTGCTCTTGCGGAGCTTGTACCTGCATTCCTAATTCTATGGATATCTCTTCTCTTATTTTGTTTATCTCCTCTGCCGGCAATCTGTTGTTTATGAATACGGATCGGCGCTGGTCTAGTACGTTTTGCACAGTTTTGCCTTGCAGGTGAGGGAAGTTCATGATAACTTGTTTGTGTAGTTCAGTACCATAGGGCTCTGTAGATGTTTCTAGTTTAGTTATTCTGTAGTAGGATTATAGAGTGAGTATTAATTATTATGATTATTATTATAATTGTTGTTATAATTATTATTATTATAATTATTATTATTATTATTATTACAATAATTATTATTATGATTATATTATTATTATTAATAGTATTATAACTATTAGTATTATTACTATTATTATGAGTATAATTATTGTTATAATTATTATTATTATAATTATTAATTATTATTATTATGATTATTATTATAATTAATCTTATTATTATAACGATTATTAGTATTATAATTATTATTATTATTATTATTATTATTATTATTTTATGATGATTATTATTATATTATTATAATTATTATTATTCTTATTATGATTATAATAATAATACTTATAATTATTATTATTATTTTTTTTAGCCGTAGGCTTTGTTACTCCCGTTAATCGGGGTGTTCTGGCTATAACCCGGACGTTTCAAGCATCAAAGGGGTAAGCCTCAATAGTGACCTCCCTAGGTACTTGCATTTCCCATAAATTTTCTTACTATGCGGGCAGTTGCCAGCAAAACTCCTTTCTGTATGATTTTGTAAATGTTTTCACTCAGTTCCAGCGCTTTGATGTTTTCTAGCAGCCTTCTTGGTATCACCCCTGTAGATGACATTATTATTGGTATTGTTTCCACGTACTTCATTTTCCACTGGCGTTTAATTTGAAATTCTAGCTCCCTGTATTTTGCAACTTTCTCATTATGCTTGTATGTTAAATTGTTACTATTAGGTATGGCCACATCAGTCAGAGTTACTTTCTGGGCGCCCTTGTCGACAATGATTATGTCAGGTCTGTTTTGTTTTATGTATTGGTCCGTAAGCACAGTGCTATCCCAGTATAGTTTATACTTGTCGTTCTCGAGGACACATTGCGGTGTATATTTGTAGTACTGTAGCTTGCATTCGATCAGTTTGAATTTGTATGCCAACTCCTGGTGAAT